ATATATATATATATTATATATATATATATATATATATATATATATATATATATATATATATATATATATATATATATATATATATATATATATATAATATATATATATACATATACATATACATATACATATACATATACATTTGCATTGTCCCGTGTTTTTTTTATATAACTATTTACATTTTATCCAAAAATAATATCAACATGTTTTTATAAATTAAAATTTTAATATAATTTATTATATCCATCCAATTTCTTATTGTCATCTTATTTATATTTTCATATTGTCATTAAATTATTACACTTTCTAGAAAATAATATAGGCATTGACGGTATGAATTGAATGATAACTTTCTTATTATTATTCAATACATATTTTTTCTTATAAAATATATTTTATTTTTATAAGTAAGCAAAAATAAATTAATTATTGATGAAGAAATTAAAAAATATATATATAGTATGGTAGAATAAATTAATTATCAAAGAAAATTTATATTTTTAAGTATTAAAATAATATAGATATATCTCACTAATTATTGTAGGATACATTACAAAATAATATATAAATATATTATTACAAAACAATAACAAAAATATGGATCATGACAATATTACCTACAAAATATGAACAAACATTCATTATATAAAATATATTTTTTCAAAAGATTAAAAAAATATGCTTCACGACAATATTACCTAGAACACATTTAACATTTATATTATAATAACACATTTAACATTTATATTATATAACACGTTAATTTGACTAATATAATTCAATAAGTATATACTTTAGTCATTTACACTTTTAATTTTGTGTCTTTTCACCATTTTTTTATCAATATGAATTTATTATTAGAAATTTTAAGAATTTTTTACCAATATAAATTTATATTTTTTTAATCAAAATAAATATTTATAGGATTTTTGTATTATAAATGCTAACAATTAATCATACACAAATATAATTTTTTATAAATTTAAATTTAATGCTATTGATTTGATTTAGTAATATCTATAATTAGAGTTAATATATTATATCACTCTATCCCATATAATTAGAGTTAATATATTAAGGTGATAAAAAAAATGAAATGTTACCTTTATTCTATTTATTTTTCTTTTAATATTTTTATAACTTATTTCAAATAACTACTCATCAATATTATGACTTCTCAATTCTAAATAATTAAATATTATTATAACTCATCAAATATTATTATAATTTATTAAATATATTATAACTTCTAATTTATAATGTTGTGTTCTAGAATAGTGAATAATAGATATATTGAAGTTTGTCCTATATAAATATTATGTACAAAAATTTGAAATTTTTTAAAATTTTAAAAGTCAAGTTTGATGGTTGACTTGAAAAGTTTAAATATTAATAATTTGAAAGTAATAATAATAACGCATTGAAAATAAACTAGTATTTAAACTAAACAAAAAAAACATCATAGAATCAGTTTTTCAAATGTGAAGTAACAAGAATCATTCTTCAACGAACCTGTAATCATCAAACAGTTCCACTAAAAATGGAACTAAAGGGCAAGGGGTATGAAAATTGGAAAAATTAAATAAAAAATTAATAAAAATAATAAATAAAAAGGAAGATTTATGAGAAGTTTCTCACTGTTTGTGCCGAATGACGACCAACTCCGGCTGACTTTTCTGGCCAACTTTTTTTCCGGAAAAATAGTTAAGTTCAGTCCTGCTCGAACTTGTTATACTGCAAGGGAAAAGTGGCAGTAACATCGTTTTATTTTTGTTATATTTGATGGAACTGTCCTAGTTTATCCATTTACATTTTATAAGATATTTTCTTTTTTTAATTATATCAATTAAATTCGTATAATTTCTTTAAAAGTTAAAATATAAATTATTAAGAAGTTAAAAAAAAATGTTTATTTTCCCATTGATCTATAGCTGAAAAAGCTTCATAACTAAGTCTAAATGGAATTCAATATGAAATCATACCTTCCCATTGTACTTCTAAATTTTGCTCATGTTTATAAACTGGTTGGGCGGCCACACAAAGTACCCTCCTGCCCTTAGCATCCTATTAACTTCAAGTAGCAAAATACCATCTGCATCACGAGTTAAAGCCAGGTCTTAGGTGAAACTCAAAGTGAGCAACTGAAACAAAGATGTGGAGGACACATTGAAATAGCTCTCCTCTTTTAATGTTTACAGACAATTTTATGCTAATAATATTTCAAAGCAAGCCCTGCTCACGCCTATTCTCTTTTCTACTACTAACAAGCCAATCATGATATTATGATATCAGGTAAAGATTGATTTCAGATCTACACTACAGTTATATTAGTTTTCCCAAAAAAATGAATATCTTGGGATGAAATAAGATAAGGATCAAAGAAGGGAGGTTTAAATACAAATAGAAACCAAATGATCTGTATTATGATCTGTATTAATTTTCTAGAATAAAAAGTGCATATGTAGATATTACGACATCTAAATACAGTCATTTATACCATAAACCTAGCTAAAAATGAGAGTGGATAACAATTGAAATGCAAATGACATTTACATAAAACTGTGACTAGGTAGAGAAACTTGCAATTACATGCAATTATACAGTCAATTGGCTGTAAGAACCCTACACCACGATACAAGAGAACTCATACCCATCTCGAGTCCAATTAATTCTGCAGCAGGAACAATGTATCAAATCAAAAGCTTGACTAGGATATAATAAACGTCTAGTTGCAAATGCTGCCACCATTGCAGGGGACACCACGCTCAAGAGCAAATTGGATCTGATTCTCATGAACATCTTTTGGAGCAACAGACATGGTTATGACATTTCTTGACAACAAGTATGCACCAAACTAGCTCCACCACAGCCAACATCAAGTGAAACTTTTATACTCTGACCAAATGTGATATCAGACACATCTACAAGATGTAGATGATAAAAAATCAGAATTGTCGAAGATGCACATATACTATATGAAACGTGAAACCAAAGTACATAGTAACCTTAGAAATATGGTCCAAGTACGCCCTGGAAACTTGAACTTATCCTTGTCTCGGGTAATCCAATTTGTACCCCTTTATCTTCCACCAGACGAGTGTGGGGAACATTGCTGTACCACACCTACAAGAAGAAAAACATAATATTGCACTAAGAAACAGCCACCCTCATTCCACAGAAAGAGAAACTTGAGTGAATATAATATTGGAAAAATTATACTCGCTTCACTGAGAGAAACTTAAATTACAACCTTCAACAAGACTTTCTTTATCCAGCAACGTTGAGGATCCCTGTTATCGATTATAAGATAATGATAGAGAGAGACAAAAACAACTATTCTGAAAAAAGTTCCAAAACCGATACATGAATATTAACTAAATGTATAGCACATTGTAAACTTTCCACTGTTTCAATCAAAACTAAAACCGTTTATGTTCTCCCCATTTCAAAGCTCGGGAAGATTTCATATCCTCACACTTGTTAATTCAAAGCTCAGCAAGCACATTGCCTCACCATATCTCCGATTCATGTTACTTGCCAACGATCCAACACCCAAAACTAACACCACAATATCATGCAACGGTATCTCCGTCACCGTCATAGCAACACCCCTTAAGTTATCCTCATCAAGATACACTGACTATACACATTCTCCATCTAAGGAGAGACAAAATTGAAATATTTTGACAACCTTTCAACCCAAAAAAACCAATGTACAATGAAAACCAAATTCGCAACAATCAAGTTCCCTTGAAAATCAATCCAATAGACAAAAACACGGAAGAAATGTTAATGACAAACATTCAATGAAATGCTTGCCACAGTATGTTAATGACAAACATGTCCCAGAAAGAAATGTTATTAACATCAAAAACTTTTGAAAACACAGAAGAACATGTATAAATAAATTGAAGTTGTATACTGTCATAATCTTTTTCCGAAACTTGGTAAGCATACAAAAAAAATCCTTACACAAAAGCAAGGACAATAATTCATTCTACTAAAATTTTCTCAACATCACTCCTACACACTACTATATCCTTATTCTTTCTTACCAATATCACCATCCAAAATTGCATGCCTAGTTAAAACAATCTCTTTAACAAGATTTCTGTAAGTGAAAGGTCGAACCGCTGCTCGCAGAAATAGATCTGGAGGAAGTTTGCTCTTCTTAATCTTTTTTCTCCACGGACCGAGCCCAACATACTTCCACTCTTCTGGACTGACCTTTGCTCGCTTTCCTCTCAAGGCGGTTTCGTCTCCATCTAACGAACCATGCATTGTTTCTTCCTCTCCCTCTTCCGCTGTCATCATTTGCTTCTTATATAACTTTGTAGAGAGCTCGACACTCTTTCTTGCCATATTTTCTATTGCCTCTGCACTATTTGTTGATTTTCGAAACTCCTTCCAGCCCTTCATGTCTTCCTCCATCGCATGAAATTTACCATCTTCGCTTTCTTCCATGTCTGTAACAAGATTTTGGTCTTCGTCAACATCAAAATCATCAATCTCCTCCTCCTCTTCCTCTTCGTCATTCTCATCATCATCGTCATCAAACTCAGCATCTCCATCGCTACCTTCATCCTCAATCCAATCAAGAATCTCAGTATCATTATCACCAACAACATCATCTTCTTCATCAGGAGCATCACAACCAAGCTCCATCTCTTCCAACTTAGCCTTCCACTCTTTAGTATACGGATGCAAAATTTCCACCGGATGATGCCCCAAAAGAAACTCCAAACATTTCGACTTTTTCTCGTCACTCAATTTCTGATACGCGTTAACCACATCATCAACAAAAGCCTTCTGATTCACCTTCACAATCTTACACAACCCACCATAATAAGTACATGTCTCAACACTCCCATCATCATTTTGCACCTCGCAAAGGTAATCCTGTTCAGTACTAGGATCAAGAAACGGAATTATCGCATTAAAAAAGTTATCCTGAGGCTCAAACCTACACTGAAACACCGGCCGCTTAACATACACAATATCAGGTCTCATCCACGCCGCACATTGTCCTATCAACGACCTCGCCTTGTTCCCAAGTCTACCCATCAAACTCCACTTATCTAACCTCTGCTTCCCAGCTTCAACTACTACTTCACTAACCAACGTCCATTGCTGCCAAGGAAGCTCCGAAACTCTCCACTTCGGATGCCTAACAAAAACCCAAAAATACCTTAACTTAGTTTGATCCAAAAGCTTCACCTTCTCCCCAAAATCAGCAGCCATTTCATGTTTCTCAATCTCCTCCCACTCTTCATGATCCTTCACTTCACTAATTATCGTCACACATTCATCCGTAATCCCACCACTAACCGGCTCACCAACAACGATCCCACGCCACGAATATGGCCCGTATTCACCATACTTATACCAATCATACGGGTGGCGTAAATTCGGATCATCTTTCTCCATGAACCGAACCAGTCGATCATATCCAAGCCCGATTTGTTGAAGCAAATCCTCAGAGAAATTATCCGGATAATTCCCACGCCCCTTAGGGTTCTTCAACCTATAGAACAAAGACTCAGCAAGCTTCTTACTTTTCACCTTAGCATTCCGCTTCAACCGTCTCCGAAACTCGGCATTTCCTTCTAGTCTACCACCGGAAGACGATGCACCACCCGTCTTCTTGCTACGACCCGCATAAGCCCGAGCATCTCTAGTACTGCAGACACTGTAATTCTTGCCAGAACTCAAAGAAACAACTTGAAAGGGTTTGTGGGGTTGAAATTTTAGGTTTGGGGATTTGTTGAAAGGTTTAAGAAAGGAAAATTGGTTGTAAGGTGAAAAAGGGTTCAATGTTCTGGGTAAGAACTCAGTTGTAAAATGGTTTGAATTCATTTCAATGAAAAGCTTTCACCAAACACAACCTTCAAAACAAAATATCATAGAATCAGTTTTTCAAATTTGAAGTAACAAGAATCATTTTTCAAAAAGAACATGTAATCATCAAACAGTTACACTAAAAAATGGAACAAAAATTGGTTCCTATGTTGTCAAGGGCATGGGTAGGAAAATTGGAAAATTAATAATAAATAAATAAATAAATAAATAAAAAGGAAGATTTATGGGGAAGTTTCTCACTGTTTATGACAACCGACGACCAACTCCAACTGAATTTTCCGGCCAACTTTTTTTCCGGAGAGATAGTTGAGTTCAGTGTTGCTCGAACTTCTTGTTTATGATACTGCGAGGGAAAAGCAGCAGTGACATCTTTTTGTTTTGTTATATTTGATGGAACGGTATAGTTTATCCATTTACATGTTCATTAAGATTTTCTCTTTACTAATTATTTTTAATTATATTAATTAAATTCGTATAATTTCTCTAAAAGTTAAAATTATTAATTATTAAGAAGTTAAAAATAAATAAATAAATTTACTGTTCTGTCGTATTTTTAGACAACAATTTTCAATATATCATCATTTTCACTCAATAATACTAAACTACCATATTTTCAAACAAATTTTATTGTTGGCACAAAACAACGCTAAGTGAATGGGCGGAATAGCACAAAATATTTGAGATCTGCAAAAATAATGGGCGAAATTATTGGAAATTGAAGGGGGAAGTATTGTAATGTATATTTTTTCTTTTTTAAATAAACTTATTTGAATTATATATATAATTTTTGTTTAATTATATTTAAATTATATAATATATACTATAATTAAATTTGATTTAATTGAGAAATTAAATTATAATTAAATAAAATATAATTTAAAATAATAATACTTAAATTATTAAATTAAAATAACATTTGAAAAAATTACAAGAAAACATATCTACCGTGAATTTTGACTGGATCGTGTCAATTGTTGGTGAGTTTCACAAGAAGGAGTTTGTCTGATATGTTGCCCTATTCTGCGATTTCCTTCTTCATTTTATGGTTGAGTTGAAGGTCCTGCGTCACATCCGCCCATTAAAAATTTCTCTATCATTTCATCATTGGTATAATATATCTCTGTTGCACTGCCATAATTTAATCTGATTTCCTCCCAATTCCAATTTGGTAAGGTATTAGTAGGCATTGAGTTATTTACTAAGGGTTGGTAACAATCTTGTGAGATAAATTGTTGTGGCTGGAAAATAGGCATTTGTTGTTGGAGTGTTTGGAAGTTGGGGTCATGTGGGGTTGTAGTGTTAATGATGTTTGTGGTAGACTGTTTGATGTAGACCGGGTAAAATATGAATATTATTGTTGGGTTCCCCATTGGATGGGGTTAGATGAAGAATATTATTGTTGGGTGCCCCATTTGGTGGGATTAGATGAAGGGTTTTGTTGATTGTATCGTTGGTTTGGGGTAACAGGTGCTTGTGTTGGGATGAAAGGTTGTTGGGTGTTAAGGAAAGGTTCTTGGTTGCTCATGAATAGTTGTTGGGTGTAAGTGTGTGACGATGGTCTGGTGTGTTGGGCATTTGAAGATGTTGGTTTGTTATGAGGGTCAAATAAGAAGCTATTTGGTGACATATACAAATTTGTAATGGACTTATATCAGTCCACGTATTTCTTATTCGGTTTACATTCTTCTAACATGATATCTCCTTGTAAGACTTTATCTTCGCGGTTATGCCATTGACGAAGCTCTTGTTTGTAATGATCTTTTCAATTTCTATAATGCCCATTGGTCGTTCACCACACTTTTGTGATACTCCTCCATGCACTTTGGAGCATCCGGTATGTCTTGCAGAATGCCAAATTGGAGTTTAATCCTATATGTATGATGCATTTCAACTGTAGTAAAACAGATAAGAAATATTTTTTACTACAATAATAACACTTTCAGTGTGAAGGAGACAATTGACCACAGTGAGGGGAAGCCATTGGGATGTTACAAGGTTAACCTAATAGATGGTTGGTGTGACTGCGGAAAGTTTCAAGCATAACGTGTTCTTTGTTCACGTGTTATCATTGCATGTTTCATGGTGCGCCAAGACGCCTATCTTCTATTGTCTAACGTTTAGAAGGTGGCGAACTTATTTGAGGTTTACAGCACAAGCTTTCTAGTTCTACCGTACGATGAATATTGACCCACTTATGAGGGAGATCAAATTTTCCACAATCCAATCATGAAGAGGAACAAGAAAGGTCATCCTGTGAGCATCCGTATTACAACAGAAATAGATGCGTATGATAAATGGAGAGAAAATGCACATTGTGTCGTCTTTCGAGTCACAACCGAACGCGATGCCCCAATGTAGAAACTAGTAATAATTAGTTATTCATTTTGTTATCAATCTTCAAAATTGTATGTATAATGACGCCAATAAATTATGTTTTATGCCACTAATACTTTTGCATTTAATATAAATAACAACTCCAAAAAACAACACATAAATTAAAATACTTAGACAAATAGAAGAACTTAACAATAACATTTAACCTAAACAACATCAACAAGTTCAAACAAACACATAAATATTTCTAGAATATTACAACCAACAACACAATATCTTTTTGTTGAAGAATCATCATAAAGACACATGCATCATTATGAATAAGTCTCCAAGAACGAGTTGGTCCATTTAAGTCGGGCACCGTTGTAATATCAAACTTCTCAAATGATTCTCAATGCACTTTGTTTTTATGAAGACAAACTATATTGGCAAGAAGGCAAATATTTTGATCAAGCTAAAAGCATCATTGGATAAAAGACTTTGCCTCAAGTTCTTAACAAATTTCACAAGGTATAATGACAGTACTTACTTTGAACTTAAGTCTTAAATGCTCAATGATAAAAAGAAGTGTTTTATCTTGTCCAAACTTTTTCTCAAGTTTTCTAAGCAAAAAGTCAATTTTCACTTATGTGCAATCGATATATATGTTGGTGCAATCGATTGCTCTCTATCAAATTTTGCTACTGTTTTAAAGTACAATCGATTTACACACATGTGCAATTGATTGCTCACTGAAAAAATTTGAATTTTTTAGCTGTTAAAACCCGTGGAATCGATTTACACAAGGGTGCAATCGATTGCATGCTGGACGTTTTTGAAAATCAGCAGCTTTGAACATACCTTTTCATAACACCATTTCATGGAAACTTTTCATTGAATCTCGACAATTGTTCATGATTCATTTGCAGAAATTTATGATGTTTCAAAGGGGTGCTATGGACATATAAATACTGAAATTTCAAAATAAAAAACAACCTCTTCCAATCAATAGTTTCTGAATTTTAAAATATTAAAACTCAAGCTTTTTCTTCACTTTCATACACAAAGTTTTTCTGCACATTTTTATATATTGTTAAACAGAAAACTTTAAGCATCCTATAGTCTTGAGTCATTGTATATTATTGTTATTGGAAGAGAAGATCAAGTCATTGATAAAATCACTCAAAGTGATTATTGCACTACAAACTCTATCAATCAAATATTGCTATACACTTTCTTATTTTTCAGGATTGTTGAAAATAAGTTCAAGTGATTTTGTAATCTTTTTTTTCCAGGATTGTTGGATACAAGTAAGGTCACCTTGAGAGCATTGTTCTCATTGTTGACACAGTGAAAATCCAAGAGGATTGTTTTTGGTCCAAGATGATTGTTATTGATTTTGGTAGTTCTTGTTTTAAGTTTGCCACTATAAGGAAATATCTTTCATGTTGAAAGGGGACTGGAGTACTCTCGGACTGTGAGGGGAACCAGGATATATTGCTCGTGTCTCTTTATTTTTCTGCACTTTACTCTTTCGTAAACACACCATAAACCAGAAAAATATTATCCATCATCACTAAAAACCATAAAATTTTTAAAGTGCCTAATTCACCCCCCCCCCCCCCCCTCTTAGGCGCACTCGTACTTACAATTGGTATCAGAGCAGGTTATAGGTAACCTGTTCCTAAAAGGTCCAGAATGACTTCCGCAAATCAAAATCTTGTTTTCAGAGATGGTAGTAGTAACAACAAGTCTCCTCTATTTTGTGGTGAATATTTTGACTTCTGGAAAATACGCATGAAGGCACATCTAGAAGTACAAGGAGAAGAAATATGGGATGCCGTCGAGAATGGTCCATTTATTCCTATAACCGTGATCAATGGTGTTGGCTCATCAAAGCCTAAAACTGCATGGGATGAAGATGATAAGGAAAATGTCCTCTATGATAAAAGGAAATCAATCTTCTTCAAGGTGCACTTAGCATGGATGAATTCTTTCGTGTCTCGGCATGCAAAACGATGAAAGAAATATGGGATACATTGGTACAAACTCATGAAGGAACTATTGAAGTTAAAAGATCAATACTAAATACTTTGAGTCAAGAATACGAGTTATTTCGAATGCAGCCCAGAGAAACGATCCCTGACTTGCAAAAGAGATTTGTGCACTTGACAAATCATCTAAGTGCTCTTGGTAAGACTTTGACGAATGATGAACTAAATCTGAAAGCACTTAGATCCTTAACTAGGGAATGTCAACCAAAGGTAACGGCAATTTCGGAAAAGAAAAGTCTTTCTTCAATGACTTCCGCAACGTTGTTTGGAAAACTTCAAGAATATGAAACGGAACTCGAAAGACTTGAAAAGCATGAAAATCAAGAGAAGAAATCCAAGAATATTGCCTTAAAGATTGATTCCAAGGAAGTTGAAAAGGAAGACAATCCGGAAGAAGATGAAAATTTCATGCTTCTTGTTAAAAGGCTTGGTAAGTTATTTGGTAGAAATGACAAATCCCTTTCTCATTCAAAAAGAAAGAAACAATTTAAGAAAAGGGAAGCTTCCACATCAACACAAGAAGTCACATGCTATGAATGCGGCAAGCAAGGTCATATCAAGCCGGATTATCCGAAACTCTCCAAGAAAGGTGGCTACAAAGGCAAAAATGAATTTAAGAACAAAAAGGCCTATGTTGCATGGGAGGATAATGAAATAAGTTCTCCGTCCGATTCCGATGGTGATGAAAGTGAAAATCTAGCATTGATGGCCTCACACTATTCCGATAATAAAGATGATGAGGTTAGTAATGAATTTTTTCTTTTTGATAGTGATGCACAAGGTGCTATAGATGAACTATTAAATGAATGCAAAATTATGTATAAAACTATTTCATCTCAAAAGAAACAAATCTCATCTTTAGAAGAAAAATGTGAAACTATGGAAAAAGATTTCAAAGATGAAAAACAAAAATTAAGTGATGAACAAAAACAGAATTTTGTATGCAAAAATTGTGAATCACTCTATTTCCAAATTGTCCAATTAAAAAGAGTTATTGAAAGATATGAAAAAGGTCAAATTGGATGGAAGGTGTTCTTAGCCAACAAAGATATTCCAATGATAAAAGTGGACTTGGATATTCAAGATTTTCAAAACCAAGTTCTAATAAAACTATCTTTGTTAAGGCTAGTGATCAATCATCCAAAGAGAAAGTGAACAAACCTAAAGTGGTTCATCATTATCCTAAAAAGAAAACATTTCCTAATAAGAAATCTTACCATTCTAGATATAGAAGTAACTTTAAACCTACTTGTTTTTATTATGGTATTATTGGCCATACACCTAATGCTTGCTATGTTATAGACTTTAGTGTAGCAAGTGGACGTTATGTGTGGGTTAAGAAGTGAACTAACTATGGTGGACCCAAAGCACATTGGGAACCAAATCAAACTTAATTCGTTTTGTAGGTTTGCTTGAGGACCACTTTAAATCTATGATGTTTTAATAAGTGGTGGCTCTAAGCATTTGATGGAATACATACACTAACTTTCGAATCTAGTTCAAGTACAAAGATTATTTCACATATGAGAAATACCTTAAAGGAATAATTATTGGCATTGGAAAAGTTCATACACTAACTTTCATATCCATTGAAGATGTACTTTATGTTGAAGAACAAAAGACAACTTCTAAGTAAAAGACAACTTTGTTGAAAAGAGTTCAAATTCATCAAGGATGAATCGTTTATGAAGTCACTCTTGAGGTAAAACTCATAGGTAAAAAATGTTTTTATGCTTATAATTTCATTATATATTTTAAGTCTTTTCCCATTCCTTTTTTCTAATGACAAAGGGGGAGAAGGTTTAGTATATGTATGTATGTATATTTTTATGCATCTTTCCCTTCTTTTTGATAATGTCAAAGGGGGAGAAAGATGTTACACTTTATGCTTGTGTATTTCCTTCTCTTAAACTTTTAAGGTACACAGAATATTTCAAGATGAGCAAATCTAAATGATTTCAAAGCTTCTCATATAAAGAGGGAGTTATACATCTTAGGGGGAGAAGTCTCTTTCCGGAAATAACAAAGCTTCACGAAAGATTGTTTGTCATCATCAAAAAGGGGGAGAATGTAATATCAAGCTTCTCAAATGATTCTCAATGCACTTTGTTTTTTATGAAGACAAACTATATTGGCAAGAAGGAAAAGATTTTGATCAAGCTAAAAGCATCATTGGATAAAAGACTTTGTCTCAAGTTCTTAGCAAATTTCACAAGGTATAATGACAATACTTACTTTGAACTTAAGTCTTAAATGCTCAATGATCAAAAGAAGTGTTTTATCTTGTCCAAACTTTTTCTCAAGTTTTCTAAGCAAAAAATCAATTTTCACTTATGTGCAATCAATTTGCATGTTGGTGCAATTGATTGCATGCTTCACGTTTTCAAAGTGTTAGCTATTGTTTCTAAGTGCAATCGATTTTGCTACTGTTTTAAAGTGAATTCGATTTACACACATCTGCAATCGATTGTTCACTAAAAACATTTGAATTTTTTAGCTGTTAAAACCCGTGCAATCGATTTACACAAGGGTGCAATCGATTGCATGCTGAACGTTTTTGAAAATCAGCAGCTTTGAACATACATTTTCATAACACCATTTCATGAAAAAATTTCATTGAATCTTGACAATTGTTCATGATTTATTTGCAGAAATGTATGTTGTTTCAAAGGGGTGCTATGAACATATAAATATTGAAATTTCAAAATAAAAAACAACCTCTTCCAATCAATAGTTTCTGAATTTTAAAATATTAAAACTCAGGCTTTTTCTTCATTTTCATACACAAAGTTTTTCTGCACATTTTCATATATTGTTAAACAGAAAACTTTGAGCATTCTATAGTCTTGAGTCATTGTATATTATTGTTATTGGAAGAGAAGATCAAGTCATTTATAAAATCACTCAAAGTGATTATTGCACTACAAACTCTATCAATCAAATATTGTTATACACTTTCTTATTTTTCAGGATTGTTGAAAATAAGTTCAAGTGGTTTTGTAATTTTGTTTTTCCAGAATTGTTGGATACAAGTAAGATCACCTTGAGAGGATTGTTCTCATTGTTGACATAGTGAAAATCCAAGAGGATTGTTCTTGATTTTGGTAGTTCTTGTTTTAAGTTTGCCACTATAAGAAAAATCTCTTTTATGTTGAAAGGGGACTGAAGTACTCTTGGACTGTGAGGAGAACCAGGATATATCGCTCGTGTCTCTTTATTTTTCTGTATTTTACTCTTTCATAAACACACCATAAACCAGAAAAATATTATCCATCATCACTAAAAATCAGAAAAATTTTAAAGTGTTTAATTCACCCCCCCCCCCCCTCCCCCCTCCCCCCTCTTAGGCGCACTTCGTACTTACAACCGTAACCAGCCTCTCAATTTTCCAGATTTTTCCATCTTTGCAATTTCTTCCCCTAACCATCCCTCCAAGTGCCTATGTAGATGCTCAAATGTCTGCGTGTTCAACAACTTGATCTTCATCGGAGGCTTTACAGGAAAAAAAATCAGCTCAGCATCTCTTTTCATATATGGAAACGTTGGGAACTCTCCACCTGTTGAAGACATTCTTAAGATAGAACTAAAAAGTTGTGTGTTGAGTGTAGCTATGATCATTCAACATCAATGGTATTTATAGTTCACAGCAAAAATTTCAAAATAATAAAGTAATAAAATCTTCCACCTATTACTGTGACGGAACCGTACTTAAATAATAAAATAATAAAAGTCATTGTCAATTGCAGTGGCGGAACTGTACTTAAATAATAAAAGGCTATGCTCATTACAGTGGCAGAGCCGTACTTAAATAATAAATTAATAAAAACCTCCGCTCATTACAGTGACGGAGCCGTACTTAAATAATAAAATAATGAAAATCTCCGCCCATTATAGTGATGACGTTGTACTTTAATAAAATTCTTCATCCATTGCAGTGACTAAGCTGTACTTAAATAATATTTATTTTAATTTAAACAAATTTTATTTATTTTAGTATTTATTTATTATTATGAATAATATTTATTTTAATTTTAATTTATTTTTAAATATCACTTTTAATATTGTTTTTTATTTTAATTATAATTTTTATTTATTTTTAATATTATATTAAAAAACGAAATATAAACTGTTTCGGCAATCTAATGGACAGAAGCTGTAAAATGCAAAGGCTCCGTCAATTCAATTGACGGTGGTTTCTTGTTCACAATTTTTTTTGTTTGAACAAATAATATTGTAGGATTAATGGTTGAAATAAATGGTAATATAGTAATTTGCTTCTAAAAAATAGTAGGTTGTTAAAAAATTCGAAATAAAACTTATCTAAACTCTGAAGGATTTCAAATTATCCTGGAATATATCTAGAAAAACCATTATGTTAAGCACCAGAGGTGTTATGGATGATTCGACATAACTGCAATTGTAAGAGTCCTAAGGCAACTTCCACCACTATTTATAATAAAGCAATGAAGGTTAAAAGAGTTCCATTTGATGTGTCTCTTGTCTGTACGAGGGTGATGTATGTTATTGAAACATGAGTGAAAAGAGTCTGTCATTATTGCGAGCAAATAAAGTGAGGCGAGCAAATAAAGTGAGGGCGGGGCGGGACAGGGGGATGGTTTCTTGGTTGATGCAATTACCCTTAGTTTTTTTCAATACTATATTTAGTCAAATTTACCCTGGGTTATTCATTTTGTCAATTATGATTCGAGAGATTTAGTTTACATCATTCCAGATTTTGTTAATGCAAATTAACTAAAAAGGACTTTATTTAAGTAGGAAACAATTGAAAAAAGTTTATTTTGCATCATATCTTCCACATTCTGTTATTACTTCTCACTGATTGGATTATATAGGACTGTGAATAGGAAACAATAGAATTGTATGTAACATACTTACACGAGACATGAGAATCAATAGTGGCAGTAATACTGACTCACTTATTAGCAAAGTTCCTTCCACGCAGACATACTAGAGCATAGACAAATTCGGATTTCACACCGTCAGTCACATCAGTGGTCAAAATAATCACCCCATCTCAATCCAACAACTACTTATGTGGTTGACTACATGAATGCAGAAACCTGGAACTAGAGAGAATCTGAATTTGTTTATGCTCAAGTCTGTCCATACAAATGGAACTTAGCAAACAATATTGCCCCTGTTTTGATTCTCATGTCATGTGTAAGTTTGTTAAAAAGTATTTTTCATACCAGAGTTTCTTCTAACTGCTTACATGTGCAAATATAACATATTAATGAACAATATAATAGATGCCTGACTTTAAAATTTGTACTATACAATCTTAAACTTTGTAATATACAAATAAATTGAATTTTACAAAAAGCTAAATGATAGACTATACCTAATCAGCTCTTGCGATATGATATCAAGAATCATTAGCATTCATTGCCTCCAGAACCTAGACAAATATAAAGAAGTGTGATATTTACACTTGTATCATCCTAAACTTATGTCAAGTGTTGACTTCTCCGTTGCAGCTGCAGAGATCAGTTCAGAAACTAAGAACACGAGTTTTATAACCTGGTTGTATGCTTATAGCAAACCAAGACTCTATAACTTGCATGAGGACCCTCGTTGGTGTCTCGCACTGTGGCTTGCCAGCCTATAGCCTTGGCAATCTCCACAAGCTCATTCATGATAGAAAGAGCATCACGGATGTATACATGTCCACCAGGTCTTAGTATCCTATCCATCTCAAGCAAGATTGACGAGACGTTGCATCTGATAAGAAAGAAATGCAACGCATAGTAAGGAATCACTGCAGAGGCACTCCCAACATACACAAATAAATATACAGTAAACCTATACAAGTTTATTACTTTTTAAAAACATTGAAGTCATAATATATGCGCTTACAAGTTACTACAATATGTTTATTTAATGACATTAATTTATTACAATATGCTTATTTCAGTAGACCACTAAGAAGTAACAGATTAAAAGTCCAAACCATTTCACTTTGCTCGAGAGAAATGAATTATAACCGGAATCATGCTTCACACGGGGAGAATATAAAAACTTATTTTGTCAATTCACGTTTAAGGAGTCTGACATGTTTTCAAAACAACATCAGTTTTTACTTCCCTATTAACATAAAGAGTACCTTTTCTTCTCAACCGAAAGAAGGTATGCAGCATGCAGAAAATCATAGGTTCTTGGATAAGTGTCAAATGGTTCACACCTGAATTAGAAATCATAAATAGAGAAATATTACTACATGCTAAGTTCACAAAATATTGGTACAAGTTATTTAGTATGTTTTTAATATAAAATCTTAAATAAGATCAACAAAGTACCAGTCATGCATAACACCAATCAGGCCACGGTCATATATCACTGGCAAGGTATTTGGGCCACTAACTGGAACAACATTCATAACCCAGCTGTCAAGATTATGATCAATCAATGCAGCTGCAAATCTGAAAAATACTCAAATTAGAAGATACTAACAAGAAAATCATGTCATATTTTAGTATTTTGCACAAGGGAAATAGGGTAAAAAAATACCCTCCGAAACTAGCTCTCATGTCCATAACATTTCTTAATCTCACTGTCTTCCAATGTAAAGCATTTACATAATTTGCTATTATCGCATTCCAATATTTTGATTCGGCTTTAAAAAGCTCTTTTCTAGATTTGAAAGCATCAAGTATGCTTTGAAGCCTATCAGGTGGAGTTTGCAAACGTGCAGGCCATTTGGTAAGATTTGCTCCATATCCATTCTCAGGCAATGCAGAGATGCATGCCTTTAAGTTAACATACCTAAATTGGCATTTAAAATTTAGGAAAATAGAATCATTAAAATCCACTATACAAATGTGTATAATCAGGCAGGTTCGATCATGCATTCTGCTTCCTTACTGTGAAATACACATCATTAAGTTCCCAATTCTCTTTTCGCTTCATATTTTGTTGCTTTTTTTAACTAATTCCCAGGATGGTTAGAAGAAGAAAAATTAACTTGCCCACAATTTTGGTGCATGCTTCAGTAAACCTAGAAGGCTAGAATAATAAAATAAATATATATTAAAAAATAGAAAATATATATTAAACCTAGAGGGATTCTGCTAATTGTTGAACTTGGACTTCTAGACAGTAGACACTGCAGCATAGCCTTTTTTCACAGTCATAGTTTAGCTTTACAAAATCACCGCTTCAGCAAAGTTATCTGAATGAAAATGGAATTTCACTTACTTCATTTGCTGAACTGTTTATCATATTAAAGCTTCTATTAATTGTTCATCACCAGCTTCTAGATAGATCGTAGTTTTCTCAATTTCATAGTTTTATCAAAAGAAATTATAGCTACAATGAAGTTATCTAGATGAAAAAATATTGTTTCGTTTGCTTTTCATTGGATGAAAAAAAAAAATACTAGTCTAGCATAGCATTTAATATCAATGAAGGAACTATTTAATTCTACATTTCCCCTATGTTTCAACCTACATATTAGTAAAATGTACCTACCTTTTGCTCCTTGACTGTATTCTCGAAAGCTCTATCACATACGACAATAATAGTAAATTTACATATTGTTTGTGACAAAAACTATCAGGAAGGCAAAAGAACAACATACCAGACATTGTCGGGGTCATCACTTGGGTCACAGAGTGGTGGTTTAGTTTCTGCCGCACGGTTTAGATAGCAGCTATTGTCAGAGGGCTTCCGCCATATTGCAACATACCCATCTTTTTTTAAAAGCTTCCAGCAAAGACGAATAGTAAGATTAAGCATCTCTGTAGACAACGAAACCTAGTGTTACACTCACAATAGATGCAGGCGGCAATATTAGAATTACAGATTTAGACCAACCCTAGTAAATTACTAAATATTCAAGTAGAGTAGTACATCTTTTTTATCAATAATACGGTAGTATGTATGGCAGAAGTAACAGGCTAACAGCTCATTGCGAAAATTGGAGGAGTTGAGCAGGCATTTGATACCACAACATATTCAGATGCTTTCTCGATGAGCTGATATGCAACAAAATATTCAGTTGCTTTTTTTTCAATATCGTTTAAGTCATATATCATATAAAATAGAAAGTAACGTGTGAATTATAGAAACATAGGCAGGAAAGATTCAAATAGTTAAAACTTTTTCTTTGAATAATGAATGGATCATTGAGAGAGGATCTAGATCAAAGGTTTGATCATGTAAAGATTACTACATGTTAGTTATTCCTATTATCGTGACACATGAAGGAAACATGGTAATGATTACTGAACAAATTGGTGAACATTGTTAATTCTCTATTTTTAAAATTGGCACTAATTTTTGTAAAACAAATAAAAGAACAATATGTTAGATAGAATGTATTAAATTGCTAACAGGAACAGGTTGAGCAAGAAGTCCTATCTTATGTTGGAACATGCTGAGTTGAAGAAGTTTCAACATCTGAAACAACATGTCAAATAAGATGTCATATGAAGGAGCATACGACACCACGTCTGAGCTGAAGTGATTCTGTTAAATCTGTTATGATTTAACAAGTGCAGAATATTCAGGGAATATTATGCAATCCTATATGGCTCTGAATTCAAGGTCAAGAGAATCAAGTCAGAATATTTAAAGATTATACAGTTTCTAAATATAGAGATCATTTAGGAAACTAATGATTGAAGACCTTGTTTGTAGCAGAAGTTTCTGCTGGTTTGTAACAACTGATTTGCTGTTATTAGAAAGCCCAAGTCCAGTTGAGAATGGGCTATAAATAGAAGGGTTTGTAACCTAGTTTGACACGAGTTCAAGATAGAAGTCTAGGACTTTGTCAAGGTGAACCACCCGGATTGTCGGATGGTCATCATGTTCTCACTCAGAAACCTGTATGTAATGAGTTGAGTATTGTTCTTGGAGGAAGCTTGTAAGCAACTCCAAGTTGGTGTTCTTAGTCAAGAATCTTGACTAAGTTTAGAGGGAAGTGTGTCTTCCTGCACGTCATAGAAGTGAATGATAGAATCAATTTAGTATCTAACAGAGAAATGCTGAAGATAGTACAAAGAAAATGGTAGAAGTACTGACTGTATTAAGAAATAGGCTAGAGTTCAAATGAGATCTAGCAGATTCAGTACAATAAAATGCATAAGCAGCAAAGTAAGAAGAAAACTAGTAGAGGCACTTTGAGAGGCCTTATCTCTCCTAGGAATCAGATCTATTCAATTCTTCCGTACCCCACAAATGATTGGGACTCAATCATTTATGGAATTATTCCTATAGCCTATTACCACTCAGCTGCTGCCAGCTGTCCCCTCCCATGTGCTTCTGCTAACAGAATTTGTCCTATTCTCTCTCTTTCTCTTCCCTACGTTTCCTCACATATTGCTTCCCATATCTACCAATTCCCCTCCCTTCAAAAACTTCCTTGACCTCAAGGAAGAAAACTGGAAATTCCTCTTTTAACTTTTCAGCCAACTCCCACGAATTCTCGAATTCTGGAAGATCTTTCCATTTCACCAAAACCTCCCAATCTCCTTGATCATTCCTCCTGTAATCCATTCATTTCTCAGGCACATGTTCCAAATACCAATCCTTATTCATACAATCTGGCAAGGGTTGGATTTTGGCAGAGGCACTAATAGCTTTTTTCAGCAAGGACACATGGAATACCGGGTGCACTCTAGCATCAGCAGGCAGCTTAAGCTTGTAAGCCACCTCTCCCACCCTTTTAATTACCTCATAAGGTCCATAAAATCTAGGACTAAGCTTCTGGTTCAACCTTTTAGCTAAACTCTTCATTTTGTAAGGCTGGATTTTTAAGAAAACCTTATCTCCCACTTCATAGACCACCTCCCTCCTATGCTTGTTTGCTTGATTTCTCATCATATCTTGTGCTTTGAGTAACTGCTCTTGCAGTTCCTTGATCATCAAGTTTCTCTCCATTGTCAATTTACTGATTTCATCAACCGCAGATCCAGGGGTGTCCCCTCTAATTAACACTAGAGGAGCCCTTCCATATAGTGCCTCAAATGGGGTGGTCTTTAGTGAGGCATGATAATTGGTGTTATACCAATATTCTGCCCATGCTAACCACTTAAGCCATTGCTTAGGTTTGAGCCCTGTAACACACCTCAAATATGTCTCTAAGCACATGTTGACTACCTCTGTTTGGCCATCAGATTGAGGATGGTAGGCACTGCTATATTTCAACTTAGTCCCAGCCAACTTAAATAGCTCTATCCAGAAATGGCTAAGAAAAACTTTGTCTATGTCAGAAACTATGGAGCTTGGGAATCCATGCAATCTAACTACTTCTTGAAGGAAAACTTCAGCAACACTCTTGGCCGTATAAGGATGGCTAATTGGAAAGAAATGAGCATACTTAGAGAGTCTATCTACCACGACCATAACCGTGTCTACTCCATGTACCTTAGGTAAACCCCCTATAAAATCCATAGAAATATCACTCCATACTTGTGTGGGAATCGACAAGGGCTGTAGTAATCCTCCAGGTGTCAAGGTTTGATACTTATTCCGTTGACACACTTCACAAGCCTGCACATACTCTTGAATCCTCTTTCTCATACCCTCCCAATATACCGCACTACTAATCCTTTTGTACGTCCTGAGATAACCAGAATGCCCTCCTACTGTTGTATCGTGGAATTCATTCAGAATCCAACTAATTCTAGGGGATCCCTTAGGCAGCAATATTCTTCCTTCATAATACAACCTTCCTCCCTTAAGTTGAAACCCCTTCTGACTAAGAGGATCTGCTAAAACAGCCTGCACTATTCCCTTCAGCTTCTCATCCTGTTGTACCTCCTCTTCTAATCCATTCCAAGCTTCACTTTGGACAGTAGTTATGTGAGAATATTGCATCTGTCTGGAGAGGGAATCTGCTGCACTATTTTCCTTTCCAGGTTTATACTTCACCTCAAAATCATATCCTATCAGTTTAGATAGCCACTTCTGCTGTTCTTCCCCCATCACCCTCTGCTCTGTTATAAATTTTAAGCTTTTCTGGTCCGTATGCACCTTGAAATGCTTGCCTAATAGATAGGGTCTCCATTTCTGAATAGCTATGACCATAGCCATGAGCTCTCTTTCATAAACTGACTTTTGTTGGGCCTTAGCTGATAGAGTTTGGCTCATGTATGACACAGGTCTGCCCTCCTGCATTAACACTGCTCCAATGCCTTTGCCCGAAGCGTCCGTCTCCACTACAAACTCTTTTTCAAAATCAGGCATAGTCAAAACGGGGAGAGTGGTCATTGCTATCTTTAGTTCATCAAAAGCCACTTGTGCTTCTGTACTCCAGAGGAAACTGTCTTTCTTCAGCAGCTGAGTAAGAGCCCACGCTATTTTTCCATAATTCCTCACAAACTTCCTATAGTAGTCAGTTAGACCTAAGAATCCTCTTAGTCCTTTTATATTTTTTGGAACAGGCCACTTGATCATATCTTCTATCCTTCTGGGATCTGCTGCTACTCCTTGGGCAGATATTAAATGCCCAAGATACTCCACCTCTTCTTGACCAAAAGAACATTTCTTCTTGTTAGCAAATAGCTGTTTATCCTTCAACACTTGCAATATGACAGTTAAATGCTCTCTGTGTGCTTCTTTACTCCTACTATATATGAGGATATCATAAAAAAAAACCAAGCAAAATTTCCTTAGAAATGGCCTGAGAACTTCATTCATGAGGACTTGGAAGGTAGATGGAGCATTTGTCAAGCCAAAAGGCATGACAAGATATTCATAGTGCCCCTCATGTGTTCTGAAAGTTGTCTTGGCTATGTCTTCATCCCTCATCCTAATCTGGTGATAACCAGATTTTAAATCCAGTTTGGAAAAGATGACCGCTCCTCCCAATTCATCTAATAACTCCTCAATGATGGGAATGGGAAATTTATTAGGTATAATCACCTTGTTCAAAGCCCTATAATCTGTGCAGAATCTCCACCCTCTATCTTTTTTCTTTACTAACAGCACTGGGCTTGAAAAAGGACTGGTACTGTGCCTTATGATACTAACCTGGAGCATTTCTCCTACAATTTTCTCTCTTTCATTTTTTTGATAAAAAGGATACCTATAAGGCCTCAAGTTTGGAATGGCAGCATTAGGTTTCAGCAGAATAGCATGGTCATGTTCTCTCCTGGGTGGCAGACCTTTGGGTAAATGAAACACTTCCTCAAATTTCCCCAAAGTCTCATCCCACTCTATTAACTCAGCATTCTTTTCTGCTGCAACAGTTTTCATAGTCTGCACATAGAATCCCATCCCCTCATCCTTCAAAGCTCTCCTCACCGCTTTCATAGAAACTTGTTGATTTCTTAATGTAGGATCTCCTTGAATACTATACTTCTGTCCACCCCACTCCCACATCAAGCATAAATTTCCAAAATTAGCCTCTATATTGCCCAAACTAGCTAACCAGTCCATACCTAGCACCATATCAGTCCCTCCTAACTCCATCAAGAAGAAATTCTGACTGAATTCCACTCCTTGCAACCTGAAATTCAACTTTTCACACACCCCCTGAAATTTCACCTTCTCTCCATTCCCCACTTCAATTACATATGGTGGTGTTTCCACCAACTGTAATCCCAACATTTCCACTAGCCTAGCATCAATGAAATTGCTAGTTGCCCCAGAATCAATTAGTGTCAACAATTCTCTTTCCTTAACTGTAGCCCAGACCTTGAATGATTTATTAGAAGTTAATCCTTCTTGACTCTGCAGGGAGAGTTGCAAAGTCCTGCATTCCTCCACTCCTCCCACCGAGTCTTCTGTTTGCACCCCTTTCCCTCCTGTTACCTCTTCCTCCTCACTGCTTTCCTCACATAATTTAAAACTCATATGCTTGAATTTGCATATGTGCTCCCTATTCCATTTATCCCCACATTTGAAACACGACCCTTTCTTACTCCTTTCTTCTAATTCTGCAGGATTTAATCTCCTCCCTCTGAACTTCTCATTACCTCCTCCATTACTTTTCTCTCCCTCCCTCCTAGATCCTCCTACCTCTGTCGAATCTCTGATCTTAAAAGACCCTCCTCTGTCTCTCCATGAACTACCCTTCTTGTGGACCACCTCATTTTTTTCTTCAATCAACAGGGCCCTATCCATCAAATCTGCTAAACTTTGACTCTCATGGAGTTTTAGTTCAGCTTGAATCTCCTCTTTCAGTCCATTCATGAAAATGGAGTCCAACATAATCCTTTCTTCCCTTCTCAAAGGAGCTACAAGCATTTCGAATTTCTCCATATACTCCACCACCGATCCTTTTTGTCTTAAACTCAACAAAGGCCCCATCGGGTTATGCAGCAGACCCGGTTGAAACCTCCTCATCACAGCCACCTTGAACTCCTCCCATGTCCTCAGTGGGGCTTGCTCCTCCCACCACTAGTACCAATTCAAAGCCTTGTCCTCCATAGCCAACACTACCGCGTCTAATTTGTCGCGCATCCTTACACCACTCAAACGGAAGTATCTCTCGACCCGCACGAGCCAACCATACGCGTCCTCTCCCTTGAAAATGGGAATCTCCAGCTTCCTTCTGCTCCCCATGGTTCACCCTCCTTCGACACCCATGTAACGCTGATTTCTGGTTCGAGATCCTTACGAACGGTCACTCCTTCTGCTCCCCTCATCTTCATCGTCGTCGGATCCTCTGTGGTGACCCGGACGCTCCTGAATGAGCTGGCGAATCTGCTCCACTGTCACCTGAGGTCTAGACTGTTGCTCCGTTACGATCTGTCGTATTTGTTCTATCGTCCCTTCAAACTGATTCATCCTCTGTTCTATTCTATCGTTTCCACTCGATTTTCCATGATACCACGCGTAACAACCATCCACAGAGTAAGCGAAACCAAGACTCTACATACCAAATTGATAGAATCAATTTAGTATCTAACAGAGAAATGCTGAAGATAGTACAAAGAAAATGGTAGAAGTACTGACTGTATTAAGAAATAAGCTAGAGTTCAAATGGGATCTAGCAGATTCAGTACAATAAAATGCATAAGCAGCAAAGCAAGAAGAAAACTAGTAGAGGCACTTTGAAAGGCCTTATCTCTCCTAGGAATCAGATCTATTCAATTCTTCTGTACCCCACAAATGATTGGGACTCAATCATTTATAGAATTATTCCTATAGCCTATTACCACTCAGCTGCTGCCAGCTGTCCCCTCCCATGTGCTTCTGCTAACAAAATTTGTCCTATTCTCTCTCTTTCTCTTTCCTACGTTTCCTCACATATTGCTTCCCATATCTACCGGTGAATCTTTTCATCATAGAAGTGTGTCTTCTTGTTTTTCTAAGTGTCTTAGAATTGTCCAATCGCTGTCAGTGATTGATGAGGGATTGAGGAGGGCCTCATATCTAGGTGAGTCTTAGATAAAAATCTAATGAAAATAGTGATTAAGTGATAAGTTGTAAACGGAAGAGTTTAGCTTTGAATTGATACTACTATCAGTGGATTTGTCTCTGGCTTGGTATGTCCCTAAAGTAGGAAGGTTGTTCCGAACTGGGTTAACAATTTTGTGTGCACTTTATTGCTTTTCAGTACTGGTTTTAACATTTATACCTTGCCTGTGTTATTTCTGTCAGACCAGATGTCTCGACATCCTCTTAGGACATCTTGGTTCTGTCATACCAGAATTTCAAATACATCATATCAGAAAATGTTAAAGATATTAATATAAAGGTACACAACACTATGCAAACCATAAATACCATAATCTGAAAAAGCTTCATAACTAAGTCTAAATGGAATTCAATATGAAATCATACCTTCCCATTGTTCTTCTAAATTTTGCTCATGTTTATAAACTGGTTGGGCAGCCCACACGAAGTACCCTCCTGCCCTTAGCATCCTATTAACTTCAAGTAGCAAAATACCATCTGCATCACGAGTTAAAGCCAGGTCTTAGGTGAAACTCAAAGTGAGCAACTGAAACAAAGATGTGAAGGACACATTGAAATAGCTCTCCTCTTTTATTTTTACAGACAATTTTATGCTAATAATATTTCAAAGCAAGCCCTGTTCACGCCTATTTCTCTTTTCTACTACTAACAAGCCAATCATGATATTATGATATCAGGTAAAGATTGATTTCAGATCTACACTACAGTTATATTAGTTTTCCCAAAAAAATGAATATCTTGGGGATGAAATAAGATAAGGATCAAAGAAGGGAGGTTTAAATACAAAATAGAAACCAAATGATCTGTATTATGATCTGTATTAATTTTCTAGAATAAAAAAGTGCATATGTAGATATTTACGACATCTAAATACAGTCATTTATACCATAAACCTAGCTAAAAATGAGAGTGGATAACAATTGAAATGCAAATGACATTTACATAAAACTGTGACTAGGTAGAGAAACTTGCAATTACAGCATGCAATTATACAGTCAATTGGCTGTTAAGAACCATACACATGATACAAGAGAACTCGTACCATCTCGAGTCCAATTAATTCTGCAGCGGGAACAATGTATCAAATCAAAAGCTTGACTAGGATATAATAAACGTCTAGTTGCAAATGCTGCCACCATTGCAGGGACACCACGCTCAAGAGCAAATTGGATCTGATTCTCATGAACATCTTTTGGAGCAACAGACATGGTTATGACATTTCTTGACAACAAGTATGCACCAAAACTAGCTACACCACAGCCAACATCAAGTGAAACTCTTATACTCTGACCAAATGTGATATCAGGAACCATCTACAAGATGTAGATGATAAAACATCAGAATTGCCGAAGAAGCACATATACTGTATGAAAACGTGAAACCAAAGTACATAGTAACCTTAGAAATATGGTCCAAGTATTGATCTGCCCCATGTATAAATTGGGTGCCACCCCCTGGAAACTTGAACTTATCCTTGTCTCGGATAATCCAATTTGTACCCCCTTTATCTTCCACCAGACGAGTGTGGGGAACATTGCTGTACCACACCTACAAGAAGAAAAACATAATATTGCACTAAGAAACAGCCACCCTCATTCCACAGAAAGAGAAACTTGAGTGAATATAATATTGGAAAAATTATACTCGCTTCACTGAGAGAAACTTAAATTACAACCTTCAACAAGACTTTCTTTATCCAGCAACATTGATGTATAGTTTTGGATCCCCGTTATCGATTACAAGATAATGATAGAGAGACAAAAACAACTATTCTGAAAAAAGTTCCAAACCGCTACATGAATATTTATTAAAATTTCATTTTTTTAGCAAATAATTAAAATCAATAATAAAATTTGCAAAACTAATTGACACTGATACTGAAACTTGTGAAGCAAGGAAGATTCAATCACACATGCTCACCATTATTAAAAGGCTCATTTAAGTTAAAATAGGATAAAATAAGGGGTGTAGGTTTTAAAATAAGATGAAACTAAAGTGTACTTGAAGCTTATCACACAAGATGAGAGTATAATTTACCCTATACAATTTAGTCCCCAGGAAAAAAAGTTGTACTTATATGGCGTCTATGCATGTAAATTGGCTCCAAAAGTATAAAATTATTAGCAACATAAATTGAGTGTGTCGAAAAAACTTAAGTACTAGCGAAACATTAAGTAACACTCTTTTAACTCTTACTAGAACTCAAAATCCACATGAACCTCATCACTTTTGATAACAAGTCCATCCAAATTGGGAAATAAAAGCAACATAAATTGAGTGTCTCGGAAAAACTATATACACTGTTTACTGTAAATCAGTTCTATAATGTACCTCTTCTCGGCTTTTTGGCCATGGAATCGGTAAACGATAACCTATAGGAGTCTGAACCAAGCAGTTAAACCGTTTCTCCTCAACAGGACAATGCCTCTCAAATCTCTCCCCTCTTTCCACCGATTCCAGCTTCCCAATGGCATCTACATTATCCAAACACGGTATGTACTCGCTCATATTAACCAAACACCACACAAATTTCTCCACCTTGACTCTCAATTCTGAACTAGAAGCATCAGGTTGTTTCTCGTCCACCGACTCATCCGTGTTATCCGGATCGAATTCCCCGATCTCGAACCCGTCGGACATCGTGCCGTCGTCATTGAGGACTCCAAACTTCTTTATTTTGAGAGGTTCTGAAGTTTTTAGGGTTTGTTTGTTGAGTATGGAGGTGATGTTGAAAGTTTTGTTGAGATCGGGGGATGTGGAGACGTGGTGGGAGGTTGAGCTTGAAGTTGCAGTGAAGAAGATGAGTTGTTGATAGTGGTTAGACCAATGTTTACCGAGGTAGAAGAAAGCGAAGGAGACGATGAAGAATGCGGCGGTTTTGATGATGACGGTGGTGCTAAACGAAACGCCGGTGGTGGAAGGTTTCATCGTTGGGTTATTGGATCCAGGAATGGAAAGTGAATGTTAGTTAGAATTGTTAGTTTTTATGTTAGGGGTTGAATGAAGACGAAGAAGTCATGAGTAATTGGGTTCAAGTGGTTAATGAATTTTTTCTAGAATGAATTATTTCAGAGAATCTGACTTCAATTTGTGGTGGGAAAAACTCTTTGGCAAGGTTTCTTTATTTAGATAAGGGAAATTTATTCTGAATTTTCCTTAACTAGGTTAAAATGAAACTTTCACCCCACTAATTTTAAAATATACACTAATTTTCCCTCGGTCTAATATATTAACAAATATTAACAAAATCTTTTAGTGAAAAATAAAAAACCATAGATACTATATCTACAATTTATGGTTGTCGGTAGAAATTAAAATGAGATATTAATGTTATTTTAATAAAATTTAAATATATTTTTTGTCTCTATAATTTATCAAATTTTATTTTTGATCTCTATAAAAAATATGATATATTTTAATTTTTACAAAATTATTATGTACGTAGTTTTAGTCTTTGTTATTAAATTGATGTGTATTTTTAAATGATTATTTTGTAAACATATTTAAAATTAGAACATTATAAAAAGTTTCTCGAAAAAAGAACTTAAAATTTAATTTATAAATCGAGATTTTTATTACTTTTATCAGTATTTTTTGAAATTTAAAAAATTAATATTTAATTCATCTCATTTTTAAAAAATTTAAAATTTGATAAAAAAACATTTTATAAACATATAAAAAAATTATTCAAAATTTTTAGAAAATAGTAGGGATTAAAACTACATGAATAGAAATTTTGTAAGGACCAAAATATGTTATTTTTTAAATAGGAACTAAAATGAAATTTGAAATATTTATAGAAATAAAAAATATATTTAACCCTTTTAATAAATTTTATAATGTATATTTTAAAGAACTTAATTGATATGCACTGACAGTGTAAAACAGTTTTACATTGTCAGTAAATCGTGATCATTAAATATTTTTTGAATTTTAACTTTTATTTTAATTATTTATAATTTAATATTTATGAATGGTTGTGATGCACTAACTATGTAAAAATATTTATATTGACAATACATAATAATTAATCTCTATTTTAAAATTAAAAGAATGCCGATGTCATTTTAATAAATTTCAAAAAAGAGATGAGTGTAATTTTCTCGTTAAATGATAATGCATGTCTTAAACATAATTGACGTCATAAAATTCAAAATTATTCAATTTTAATATCAGAAAATTAGAAAAGCTTTCCCCATTATTTGAAAAATTCGACACCTCCGCAAAATAAGGTTAAAAATTGTCTAAATTTTTTTGAATGCTATGTTTTATCTCTTTATACATACAATGTTTTATTCAAAGGTAAAAATGTGTACTATATGATTTATCTTCTTAAAAATACAATGTACTATTTATAGGTTAAATATGTTTGTTATATGTTGCAGTAATGAAATAAATTAAGGATTTGTGAGAGTTAATTTACCTATATTAGGGTTTCATAGAATTAATGAATGAATTTTTAAGATTTAAGGTTGGAGTATTTATGGAGAATTCTTTGGGCGCATTAGAAGGAAAGAAAAAAAATTTCTCTTATTTTTCTGGTAAGGCGTAACACTTAGAGAGGGTTGATTCATCCCTAGATCATGGGAAATATGTTATTCTCTTTGATTGCAGTCTCCTTAAATCGATATTCATAGGACACCTCACAAGCCACGTGTGAATATGGGATGGAACATGGATCCCGAATCAAGCGGGGAAACCCATGCCGAGTTAAGAAATTTGATGTGCGCCTGTTAAGTGTTATTGCAATTAGTTTTACTTGTTTCTGCCATGGGTTGCTGCCTCTTTGGCACAATAAAATTATTCCATTCTACGGTCCCTTAAGCACGAGACCTTGAAGTTTATTCCCCACACATCAAACAGTTCTGAGGCATTTGGTTCCTTTTTGAAATGTTACCTGTCCTCTGACATCGGTCACATTCCTTTACAATGCTCTGAGCATCCTTAAACAGAGTTGGCCAGTACAACCCAGACTGGCGGACTTTTGCAGTTGTTCTATCTCCACTAAAATGTCCTCTATATTCTGAGTTATGACAAGCTCTTAGTACATCTCTCTGTTCTTCCTCTGGGACACAACTTCGAACCAATCCGTCTATTCCCTTTTTCTACAGGAATGGTTCGTCCAACAAATAAAACTTGCAATCATGCAAAAACTTTTTCTTTTTGTTAGAATCAAAATCATCAGGTATTACTCCACCTACCAAATAATTCGCATAGTCAGCGAACCATGGAACACCAATCACAACTAGGATTCGTTCGTCAATAAACTCATCCTTGATTGGGTGTTTCTCCTTTGTTTCTTTTATCGGAGACATCCGGAATAAGTGGTCAGTAACAGTATTTTCATATCCCTTTTTGTCCCAGATCTCTAGATCAAACTCTTGCAAGAGTAAGATCCACCTCAACAGCCTTGGTTTTGATTCTTGTTTAGAAAAAAGATATTTTAAAGCAGCATGGTCAGTATAAAAAATTACCTTTGACCCTAACAGGTAGGACCTGAATTTGTCAAAAGCATACACCACTGCTAACAATTCCTTTTCAGTGGTTGCATAGTTCACCTGAGCTAGATTCAACACATGGCTTGCATAGTAAATCACATGCAAAAGCTTTTCTCTTCTCTGTCCTAGCACTGCCCCTACTTCTATATCACTTGCATCACACATGATCTCAAATGGTAGATACCAATCAGGAGAAATTACTATAGGGGCAGACACCAACTTTTTTTTCAAAGTTTCAAAAGCCTCACCGCACTTTTTATCGAAAAGAAACGGTGTATCCTTCACAAGCATACTAGACAGAGGCTTCACAATCTTGGAGAATTCTCTTATGAACCTACAGTAGAATCCCGCATGTCCTAAGAAACTTCTTATTCCTTTCTCATTCACTGGTGGGTGTAAATTTGCTATCACCTCCACTTTGGCTTTGTCAACTTCAATTCCCTTATGGGAAACCTTGTGACCAAACACTATACCTTCACGCACCATGAAATGACACTTCTCCCAATTGAGAATCAAATTGATCTACTGACATCTTTCTAGCATAAGAGACAGATTATTCAAGTAATTCTCAAAAAAATATCCGAAAACTGAAAAATCATCCATAAACACTTCCATGTGCTTTTCAAGCATGTCAGCGAATATGGATGTCATACATCGCTGAAAAGTAGCATGTGTATTACACAACCCAAATGGAATTCGCCGATAGGAGAAAATACCATAAGGGCATTTGAATGCAATCTTCTCTTGATCTTCTAGAGTTACTGCAATTTGATTGTATCCCGGATACCCATCAAGAAAACAATAGTAATCATGACCAACTAACCTTTCCAACATTTGGTCAATGAAAGGTAAAGGAAAGTAGTCCTTTCTTGTAGCAGTATTCAATCTTCGGTAGTCTATGCACACTCGCCAACATGTAATAATTCTGGTAGGTATCAACTCATTCTTCTTATTTTTTATGACAGTTATTCCTCATTTCTTAGGTACCACATGAACATGACTCACCTGTGCACTGTCAGATATATGGTAAACAAGACCCGCATCCAACAACTTCATAACCTCTTTTCGAACAACTTCTTTCATAGCAGGGTTAAGTCTTATTTAAGGTTGGACAACCGGTTTCTGATTATCTTCCATCAATATCTTGTGCATGCAAATTGTGGGACTAATACCTTTCAAATCTTCAATGGCCCATCCGATAACACCCTTGTATTTCTTGAGCACTTTGATGAGCTGGTCTTCCTGAACTTCTTTTAGGCTAGAGTTGATAATAGCTGGACATTTCTCTTCAGTGTCAAGAAAGATATACTTGAGATTTTCAGGCAGCTGTTTCAACTTTGTTCCTTTTTCACCTCTTGTTTTTCTGCAGGAGACTGTGGTGGTCGTAAATATTCCCATTGTTGTGGTGTTGATCTATTCCACAGTGATTGTTTTTTAAACATGGCTAGCACTTCATATTCTTTCTCATCTATGTCCTCATGGATTTTTAAAATTGATAAGCTAAGAACTCTCTCCAACGGTAATTCAGGAACTTTGCTTTGAACTGAGTGAATGAACATTGTGTCCAACATTTCAATGTTTTTACTTGTATCTTCCTCATCTTTGAATTTCATGGTGTCTCTCACATTAATTTTCATATTCTCATCATAGACCTTGAGGGTCATAGTACCTTCCTCAATATCTATCATGCATCTTCCCGTCTCTAGAAAAGGTCTTCCCAAGATTAGTGAGATTTCCTCATCTTCTGGCATTTCAAGAACCACAAAATTAACAGGGAACACAAACTTGTCAATCTTCACAAGAACATCAATTGCAATACCATAGGTTCTTTTCATTGAATGATCTGCAAATTGAAGTGTCATACAAGTGTCTTTTGCACCTCACCAAGTTCAAGCTTTTTATAAATTAAAAGTGGCATCAGGCTTACACTAGCACCCAAATATTTATAAGTGCCTTCTTGAATGATCTATCACCAATGGTGCAAGGAATAGTAACCGCACCTCTATCTTTTTTCTTCACAGGAATTTTGAGACCCTGGAAAATAGAACTACATGTCTCAGTTAGCATTACCGACTCAGTGTCGATGGAACGCTTCTTGGATATGATGTCTTTCATGAATTTAGCATAGATAGGCATCTGTTCCAAAGCTTCAGCAAAAGGAATGTTAATCTCAAGTTTCTTAAACAATTCTGAGAATTTCTTAAATTTTTTCTTATTTAGATCTTTCTTCCTTGTTCTTGTAGGATAAGGGAGAATGATTTTTGGCTTAGGATCTTTCTGCTTTTCCTTATCAACAACTGGTTGTATCACCACTTCCTCAGCTTGCATCGGATCATCTTTGATTTCTAGATCCACTTCTAATAAACCTTTCTCTTCTATTTTCTCTTTTTAGACATTTCCAGCTAACTTACTACTTCTGGTCACAATTGC